GCCCCGCTCTGATTTTGTCTACTTGTAGATTCTGGAGCCTAGGGGAAAATGGCCTCATTGTAGCTTGTCCAGCCTCAGCTGGGCCACTCTGCCTTTGAAATGAAGTAGTAGGGGCTGAGGCAGGAAACCTCCAGTGGTAACTTAATTGCAACTGTATCCACAGTAGGACACGTATTAATCCCTCAGGTGGGAAAAAATTACAGCATGGCTCTTGTACAGATTTAATCAGCCATATTTTAAGATAACAGAAAACAAGAATGTTACTCCCTGAATGTAGATTCTTACCTTTACAAAATAAAATTCTAAGCTCATTTTTTTTCAAAGCAGGAATTACTTGTCATTATTAAAGTGAAGAAAAGAGAACTTGCTGAGAAATCTTGGATTTAAAAAGTCTAAGTATTAAGACATTGTTATGACAAATCAAATTCTGACAATGTTTAACCTAATTTTTAATCCAAAAGATGGTATCACCTGTCCTCCAAAAAATATTAGTAGATAGGTCTATATACATGATACACATTTTTGTTGATTCTTTTCCTCTTGGGACTATAACACATTGAGATTTTCTCTCTTCCTTTTCTTCATCTCTTTTTCTGTCTTACGTGGTTGTAAATAGAATTCAAGCATATTTTATTGAATACAGCTCAATGTTCCTCACATTTCAAGTGACCCTTTCTAATTTTTAAAAACTATACAAAATTATTTCTTCTTTTAAGTAGTCATCTATTAAAGATTTCTTAGGAGTTCCTATTTCACCATCTTTCCGTGTGAAGGATATAGCCTGTTGCGTTGCCTTATACCGTGTTAGCTTGGCCCAGCTTTGAGAAATGGAGACTTCTTTATGGTAAAACCCCTGAAGGTCCTAGATCCTTAGTTCTTATTATACCTGCCCTTTGAGCTCGTGGTCTGTTGCACCACTTTTCTTACTGTGTTCAGATTAAATCAAGAGGAGGTGAAGACTAATACAGACAGAGGAGAATTCCCTGCTGAGTTTAAGAGAGCCTTCTTTATAGGACTCAATCCAGAAGAGCTGCTACACTTTCAAGGACCCTCCATAGAGAATCTGCCACTTTTAGGCCACCTTGATATATTTTCACTATTATAGACATGTACGCTCCATCTTCACCAGGCCCTTGGTGACGATGTGGCTTAAGAGCAGAAAACAGAATAACTAGAAATATTTTTAAATGCTCAAACTCTCCCAGCCTACACCCTAGCTCCTTCTTTATTCCCCCTGGGTAAGTAGAAGCCTCCACATTGCAATTAGCCTGAGAGAAATTGCAGTCCTGGAGGTTCAGAGATGGGCCTGGTTTGAAGTACGTGCACCTCCAAGAGTGCCATCCTATTGGGCCAGAATTATAGCCCCTCCACACTTGTAACTTGACCTGTAATTAGCCTGAGACATTAAGCAGTTTAGCAGTTAAGAAGAGAGGAGAATGGTCATGTCATTATTTACCTGGCTGATCAGTAGCATTTATCTCCTTGTATTTATTGCCCTGTAAATGTTCAGAACCACACCCCCAAGTTCTATCCCATGGGAGCTCTGAAATGGAGCAACTCGAGCACCCCCATGTCCCCCCCGCACACCTGTGGGGCAGGCACAATGCTTCACTCCTCCTGGTTTCTTGTGGCCTTTTCGGTTAATGCCTCAGAGCGACATAACACAGTGCTGTGCTGACATCCCAAACTGTCCTCATCGAGTCTCTCACTGCCCTGATGTCCTGTGTATTGTAATGCCAGTCATCCCTCGGCTTGTGGCCAAGTAGAAGAGTAACCCTGGGTCCCAAGGTTCCAAGCATGTGAAGAAAGACTGAGAAGTTTGGGGGAGCAATTAGCCCAGTATGAGTCAGCAGTGGGATACGCACAAAATATTATATAGAGTGGGCTTCCTGAAGCACATTCTCAGATCCTCAGATCCCAACTCAAGTCTAGGGTAAGAAGCTGCCCCAATTGATGATATCTTGAGATCTCTAAGCTCTATAACACTGATCAAACCCTTATAACCAGGGTCATCCACTGTTTTTTCATTGACTGCTGTACCTCACACTTCTAATAGGTTTTGGCCTTTGGCCATAGGTGGCTCCGTTGTATTGGGGTACATAGATGCCGTAGTCAAGATGTTATTATGTGCCGGGGATGACCTGTGTCGGCCAGACAAGCTGGTGCGATCTTGATCTGTGCAAGCGGAGAGGCGATGTCTAGAAAAGCAGCATGTGCATCCCTCTGGGCGCCCCGCCCCCCCGGGAGCATTGCCTTCTGAGCAGCGTCGTTCAGTAAACGACAGAGAGACAAACTCTGCATGTTCAGGAGAAGAAGGGGACCAGGACACCACAGATGAGCTGCAGGTGGCTGGCGTGGCTCTACCTTGCTGTGCTGCCGACAGCGCCAGGGATGGGGGTGGGGAGCCTGAAGGCAGCCCTTGCTCGTGCTCCGATCTTATTTGTCCACCAGCCAGGTGGAAGGGTGCCAGACCACCCACCTCCAGGCAGCCTCTGCCAGCCCTGCGGCCCCACTCACCTCGGCGGCAAAGTGCTTCCCTCCGACAGTGTGCTCGGAGCCGTGCGGGTCATTCTGGTTCCCCCAGTGCAGGTGCAGCTGTGTGGCCGTGTAGCGGGACCCGAGGCCCTGGAGGTGCATGTCCGGGGTCAGGTTCAGCCTCACTGTGGGGAGTGGAGCCTTCAGAGCCCTGGCCCACTGAGCACTGCCTGAGAGCAGTTAGGGAGGCAACACCTGCCCGGGCCCAGACAGGAGGCAGGTGGATACAGCGAGCGGAGAGACACAGGCTGAGGGTCAGAAACCTGGGCTCTTCTGAGAACGGCCCCATTTCCCTAAAGCAATTCTAGCAGCACCAGCACCTTCTCGGCTCCCCCGGGAAAAGGACGGCAGGAGCACGAATACTAGACCACCGGGTGGTTGTTTGGTTTACATCCCCATGCATTACACACCCAGCTAGGAAGATAAAACTGTTAATGAAGTATCTGCCAAGCTGTAGAATAATATAACAATAACAATAAAAATTACTATTTATGGAAGCATCTACTGTATTACAGATCCCAACATATGTAATCTCTAGTCTTCACGGTACCCATCAATATGCCCGTTTTCCAGACAAAAGCTCAAGGAGGTTAATATTCTTACTCAGAGTGTCATGACTCCTAAGGAGTGAAGCCAGGATTCAGGTCCAGGTTTGTCTGACTCCAAAGCCTGGGGGACCCCACAGTGAATCACGTGGCTCCTGGAATATTTGAGCCAAGGGGCCAACGGGCTCAGGCCTGTACCCTCCCCCTTCCCAAGAGATGTGCTTCTTCTGAGAGGTGCTGCCCCGGCAGAGCTGCCTCCAGCATCCCCTGAATGAGTGGTCCAGGCATCCCTGGGCTCTCCCCCACTCCCTGCCCCCACCCCTTCTGGGTATTTCACTGGAGCCCCCTCCCTGCCAGATGGAAGAGAGCAGGCCAAGGAGCTGAGGGATGCTCAGACATCCCCTTGCAGATCTTAGAGGTATCTCTCTCACCTGAATGGCCATCGTTGATCAGGATAAACTGCTCGTTGGCAGAAACATTGTAGCCTTGGAACCCCAGGGGCACGAGGCTGGCGTCGTACTGGAGAATGTCACTGTGCAGGTCTATTGGGGACTGCAGCACACCCCCACATGATGGGTACTTCTTGGACCAGCTCTTCTCCCCATCAGGACCTGGAAGGGGAGATTCAAGCCCAAAGTTTAGTCAGTTTTCCACAAACGTTCTTTCCTCACTTTCTAATCCTGTGTTCAATACAATCACTCCTTTTCTCCTCTTCGTCCCCACAGGGATATTCTTCAAGACCCAGAGATCTCAGCCTACTGCTCACTTGCTCTTAAAGTGATGTGGGGAAAGAAGGACTCTTAGAGCAGCCCCATGCCAAGGACTAAGGCCCACCAAGCTCCGTTTGAATTTTACATTGTTCGTATTTTGACACAGTACACATCCTCTCCACGTGAAGACCTATTGATTTTCAGCAATTTTGCATCTGTTTATGGAGCACCTGTTATGAGCAGGAATTACTCAGGGTCTCAGGTCCGCCAGGTTGAACACAACAACAGGGCCCCTGCTTGCCCAAACTTGCATCCTTTGGGATACTTCAGGCTGGAAAAATTGGTGTAGGACTGACCACAGCTCCAGATAGGTCTTTGGGGCTGGTGGAGGTATGACCTTCCTAATAGGAAACCCTTGAGGACATTGACTCTTGATACCCACATCTAGAGCAAATATAAAACCCAATCTGATAGGGATGCTTGAAAAATATCGAGTAATTATATGCCTGGAATCACAGAGCTCAGTGCAAAGTTTATACTGGGAGAGTGTGACAATACAACAAACTAATGCCAAACTACCAGTGAGCAGGAAGAGACTTAAAAAATAAATCCTCCAGGGCTCAGGCTTCTTGCTAACTACCGGGTAATTGTCCTTCCTCTGGAAATGGCAATAAACCCTCCAATCCCACGTTCAGATAAACTTTCTTACTCCCACAGGGAAAAAAAATCTTTAAAGAATGTAAAGCTGTGTTTAAAAGATTATCTCCCGTGGTAATTAAATGGATTTTCAGGTGGAGGTTTCCCCAGAAAAGCAAGTAATTGGCGTGTCATGGCTCGTTAGGGTGGAACCATGGTGCTCTGTGGGTTCTCTGTGAGTTAGGACCCAAGCTTTGCCATCTGGGGTCCATTCGTCAGTATTTCAGCACCAGGAATGAAACTGGAGCAGAGGACAAAGGAACACCACTTCTTCCGGGAACCCGTCCATAGACAGCAGCACTATTTCACAAGAGTGGACGTGTGTACACTGGCCTCACAGAATCTCAGCTCCCTACCCCTTGTTCTCTAACTAGGAGACTTCATCTGAGAGTAAGGAGAGTCGGAAGAAAAACTTGCTATGAGGAGTTGATCCAAGGTCTGGACATACACGGTAGAACCCTACTAATTTTTCAGGCTGTCAACCTTTGGATATGCCTTCTTGGAAATGTTAGAGCTTGAAGGGATTTCAAAATGTCCTGTCCAACCTTTCACTGGACACCAGTTTTCTCACTTGCGCATGTCAGAGTCGTCACTGAGCTATATTTTAATTTTCAAGACCTCATAGCCCTGGACTCAAAGCAACTCAACCACACCAAGATGGCAGAGGGAGAGGGTAGCAAGAGGACACCAAGGTAAGACCATTACTCAGCTGAGGACAAAACCAAATTCCTTAGGGACAGCAGGAAGCAGAGATGGAGCAGTCATGAGGTATCATGCAAACCCTCAGGTCAGGAAGAGGCACAGCTCTGGGGTGGCAAGCCTTCTAGAGTGAAGGCTGCCAGCCTTTTTGTTGCTCCCAATGACGTTTGGATCCACGGCCAGGGTGGCAGAAGCTGCCGGCCAGGCACAAAAGGAGAAACCCCGTAAGTGAAGAGGTACAGCAATGAGATGATGATTTCTCTTTGGACACATGACTAAAGGGAACTGGGTTAGGACTTTCTCTTCCCAAAACAGAGGTTCCAAAAGGTTTCATGAAGAGGGCATTCTAGTGCTAACTAAACTAAGAACTCTTTAGGGACAGGACCATCTCATTGTGATCACTGTGAACTCATGTTGTGATTAGGGTCACACACATAACAGGCATTTGGTAAACAGTTTCCCCAAGAATAAAAGACCCCAAAGAACAGAGAGCTTGGGAAAGGTCATCAGGAGGAATTTTTCTTTTTCATTGTGCCCTAAATACTCTTTTTTGGAACTAAATACTCTTTATTGGAACTGACACTGGATTAGGTATTTGGGGGCAAGGAAGTGTTGGCAAAACCTTCTTCAGAAAGAGAAGCAGCTATGTTGGATGAGAAGAGTCCCGAAAACAAGATCAGCACCAGCCATCCCACCACCTCAGTGAGTGACCTTGAGCAAGTCACATTCCCTGCCTGAGTCTCCTTTACCCTTCATACAAATGAGAGGATTGAACACTGTGTTCTGGAAGTTCCGTTCTGGCTCTCAGCTCCGAGATGCATGGAGATTACTAGGACTAAGCGCCTCCACCCTCTGTATCAGGCAAGTTTGAACGGGTTGGAGAGAGCCGCTCATGCCAAGCAGCTAGCTCCTGGGCATGTGACAAGGTGCCTGGTGGGAAGCGGCTGTTGGACTGAGCGCAGGGCACTGCTGCTCCCGGGGTGGGCGAGCCCCTGGCTTCAGGAACCTGCCGCGGTGTTAGCTGCCATCCCCGCTCATCTTTGAGCACCAGCCACAGCCCCTTAGGGGCAACAGGGTCTAAAAAGCTTTTTCTACTCCTGCTTTATTATTATTATTTGTAGTAGTTTTGATTCTTACAACTCTATAGGATCGGCAAGGCAAAAATTGTACCATTTTATAGATGAAGAATTGAGATTAAATGATTTGCCCTAATTAGACCTTGGCTTAGTTACAGAGTTATCTTGCCTGGGTCACAGAACCTCCATGCCCTCCTGTTTTAGTATTTATCCAGGAGATTTGGGGCATGCCTGTTTCCTCCCTCTCCCATGCTCTTCAGGAAGGCAAGGGCCATGTCACGTTCATCCCTGCCTCTCCCATAATGCCTGGCACAGAGCAGGCCCTTACCTGTTTGCGGAGCTGCATTCTGAAGCTAATTTTGTGCTTGTTCCTCTCCAGGGAAGCGTGCCCCTCTATTAATCCCCCTTGCTTCCCTACCACCCTGTATCATTTTTTTCCCATCAAAAAAGAAAAGAAAAATTAGGTCACTTGCTCAGGTTCAAAATTTACCTTCCTAGCTTCCTAGTTTACCTGCATGAGGATGTGTTCTGTTTGGGAGCACTCAGTGAGAAAGAAATCTGGTTTGCTGCCCTGTGGCCCGGGAGATGGCCTGTGAGATGGCCTGCCAAGTACGGGGCTTCACAGCAGTTCACAGGACTCCCCCACCAGCAGGGGATGGCCAGTGTCCCCTTCCTGCATGGCTGGGGACCTTGGCAGAGCAGCCTCCCAAAATTGTGGCCTGTGAGTGCGAGGGGCGTGCGGTGCCGTGTGGGTGGGCACCAGGGAACGTATTGAGGTGTTGTCAGTAGACCCCTTTCAGCCCTCCACCCCTGGCCTCCGCCTGGGGGATGTGTGACTTGTCGCCGAAGTAACACTGGCCTTTTGCAGGCAGCCACAGCCCAGACTGTGGCTTTTCAACTTGGTCTCAGCTTCCACACTCATGCCAAGCGCCCTGGTGCCAGGAAACCTCACTTGGGACTAACTCTTCCAAAAGAGGCATTTATTTCCAGCTACCATAAAAACTCCACTTTTCTCAGTTTTGACTTTGCCTTTCCAGTTCATTGGATTCCTCACATGATCCTGATAAAGGAGATCATGTGTATCTCCCAGTTTGTTTTTCCAAACAAAGTCAAAGCATTATTTCTTTCCAGCTCATGTTTTTCTGTTTTGAAATGTGACAGGAGATTAACATGGCCCAGCTCAAAATGCCTCTTGTGATTTCCGATTGGGAGTTATGAGGCCCAGGGTACAAGATCTGCATTACCCAAGGACCAGAATTTTTGTCATGGAAAATTTCAAACACATACAACAGCAGAGAGAAGAGCAAAATGAACCTCCGTGTCCCCCAGCTTCGACAACTAACCATTGGCAAAAACAGATCAGCCTCATCTATATCGCACCCACTCTCCCCTATCCCTGGATAGTTCTGAAAGAAACCCAAATCGTTTTCATCTGTACATACTTCAGTATGTGCCACTGAAACATAAGGGCCACAATGCCATTACCACACTTAAAAAGTTAACAATTAATTCCTTAAGGTTATCAAATCTCATCAGAATTCAGTTTCCTAATTATCTCATCACTTTGTAATGGTTTATTTGTAAGTTTCGGGATTCAAGTAAGGTCCATATATTGCAGTTAGTTGACGTATTACGGCCTAGATCTCAATCTGATGGTGGGATGCCTCATCAGACAACCACTGGCCCCACTTCTTCCAAGGCTCAGAATCTCAGAGCCAGGTTGGCTCTGTCCATCCTTTGCCCTCAGTCGGTCGTGGAGTCCCACGTTTCTGTTACCACCACCTCTACCACCCCAGGACTGGCCCTCATCATGTCACACTGCACAGGCTTACTGCAGGGTCCCTGCCTCAGCCTTTCCTGTTCGCCGCCAGCCTCCTTTCTTGTGACCAAGTTTAACCAGACGTAGCACCTCCCTGTCTCCGAAGCGTGCCCGCCCCACCCAACAAAGCAGAGCAGAGCCGTAGCCATCTTTGATGGCCTGAAACACCTCAGCCTGTCAAGGCCTTCAGTGGCCCCCATGGTCAGGCTGGCATCCCGAGCCTCAGAACAAGTTATGAACTCGACCTTCACAAACGTTCTTATGCTAAAAATGTGCCTAAAACGCCGCCCTCTTTCCCCTTCACCTTTCCAAATCTTGTCCTCGCTTCAAAGTCCAGCTCAAGTCCTGCCAAAGCTACTCCAGTACTTTCTCCCTGCCCCTGACCCCCGACATGCTGGGGGTTCGCACGGTGGTACAGTGATGGGAATGCTTGTTTAAGTCTCGTGCATGACTGCTGTTTCCGGACCAGCACCTCAACCTGCTCCAACCTGAAATCCTCAACTCTGTCTGTGGATTTCAAAGTCCTTTTGAAGACTACAGCTTTTAGTCACATCCCTCCCGCATGTCTGACACAGCGGCCCTTACGAAACACTTAAGAAATTGATTTGGAGCGTTTCTTAAGCTCGTTTCAGAAATCTAGCCATAAAGGGGTGAGAGAAGAGTGTGTGTACACGTATGCACATGGTTATAGGAAGGTGAGGGTAACAAGAAGGGTTTTGTTCTTAATGGGGAGACTTAAGCATACTTCCATACAGAAGGGAAAGGGGAAGAGAGAAGGACGGTTGGATCCAGGAGAAAGAGGAGTCTATGGATGGAGTGTGGCCCTGAGAAGACAGTGGGTTGGGGAGGGTCCAGCCAGCTGAGGTAGAAATTAACTCCGGGCTGAAGGAGGCACTCGATAAATGTTCATCATATGGATCAAGAACACTGAAGCCTGCCTGGAAATGAAGCCCATGAAATAAAAACCCAGTCAGAAATCCGAGAACTCAGCAAGCCTGCAAAGCTGATCAGAGAGGACTGGCTATGGGAAGACAAGCCATCTGGTTTTCCGCATTCCACAATGTATGCAACCAAAGTGCACCAATGAGCCTAAAAAAGTCAGTATGATTTTTTTAATGAACTTATATTTCACTACTTTCTTACTACATCCTGTGGGTTTTTTTTAAAAAAAGATTTTATTTATTTGAGAGAGATAGAGCACTAACAGTGGGGAGGGGCGGAGGGAGAGGGAGAAGCAGACTCCCTGCTGAGCAAGGAGCCCAATGTGGGGCTTGATCCCAGGACCCTGAGACCATGACCTGAGCTGAAGGCAGATGCTTAACGAACTAAACCACCCAGGCACCCCAATACATTTTGTGTCTTGTTTTAAAATTTAATTACAGAAAATTTCAAAGTAGGTACAGAAGTAAAGAGTATCGGGGCATCTGGGTGGCTCAGTCGGTTGAGCGTCTGACTCTTGATTTTGGCTCAGGTCATGATCTCAGGGTGGTAAGATCGAGCCCCATTGAGCCCACGCCCAGCGTGGAGCCTACTTAAGATTCTCTTTCTCCCTCTCCCTCTGCCCCACCTCCCCTCTCTCTAAAAAAATAATAAAAATAAATTAAAAATTAAAAAAGTAAGGAGTATCGTACAGTGACCCCATGTACCCATCTATCTATCCACAATTAGTTTAGTTTTGTCTACCCTCCTCCACTGGATGACTTTGAAGAAAATCTATGGATGCTTATCTAAAGATAAGGGGTCTTTAAAAATAACCACAATACTATTTTCACATCTAAAAACTGTTGGCAGTAATTTCTTAATGTCATCAAATATCCAGTGAGTGTTCTGGTTTCCCCAGTAGTCTCATAAACTCACTGAACGGTTTATTGGAATCAGGGTCCAGATAAGGTACATGTATTGTGACTGGTTAATATGGCTCCTAGCTTTCTCTCTAAGTGCCCGATTTCAGAGTGTACAGAGTGTGTTTACTCTGTACATATACAGTTACAGACTTATTACTGCCTCAGGCAAATAACCATTTATGCAAGTCAATGCAGGATCATTTTATTATTTTGTAACCTGTTTGCAGACATGGTATGGGGTAGGTAAAAAACTTTATGGGTTGAGTCATTTCTTATACACCTGGTACATACATTGTAATAATAAAAGCACCGAGGGGCGCCTGGGTGGCTCAGTTGGTTAAGCAACTGCCTTCAGCTCAGGTCATGATCCCAGGGTCCTGGGATCGAGTTCCGCATCGGGATCCCTGCTCTGCGGGAAGCCTGCTTCTCCCTCTCCCACTCCCCCTGCTTGTGTTCCCTCTCTCGCTGTGTCTCTCTCTGTCAAATAAATAAATAAAATCTTTAAAAATAAATAAATAAATAAATAAATAAAATAAAAAAATAAAAGCACCGAGAGCTCCTTAGAAGACAAGAACTACAGAATAACTGCTAGTTTCTCACTGGTTACTCTTTCTCACTGACTGTACATCTTATGTGCTCAAGAATAATACACATTTTAATAAAAATATTGTTTGTAACTTGGACTATATCTGATGAATCTGGACACACACAGAAAAGCGCATTCGTGGTTACCCTGTTTTGAGGTTTGTCTTTTTGGTCCTTTCTAAGTCAGTCCCTCAGATCCACTGCTGCCCCTGACATCTCTTGGTGGTCGTATTCTCCCAGGTAGCCTCCTGCCCGTGTCTATGTGAGTGTCTGTGCAGACAGCTCTCTGGGCTCCAGGGCATGTCTCTTTGGAGCGGCTACCAAAACACAAGGTCAGATCAAAACCTGCCCCAGCAGATAAAACTCTCATGGCAAGGTTGACATATTCTGGATGTTGACACACCTTTTTCTTCGATCAATAGTCAAAGTTTCAGTCCAATAAAAGCTTTTGCTCGGGGCGCCTGGGTGGCTCAGTCGTTAAGCGTCT